GGAGGAAAATACAAGGACCATGGAATCCATGTGGAAGAAGGACCTTCTGCAGCTCTCTCAACAAATGCAAACTCTGCAGGGAGCTTTCCAGAACACACAAGTGGCCTCACTGCTTGGCCTTCAGATCAACATAGCAGACCTGAAGAACATACTAGGTGAGTAGGATGACTCCCCAGCAGACCTTCATCTTTCTGGAGGCAGTAGCTACACTATAAATGTCCTGTGAGCTAGTTCTTTGCCTTCTCTGAGTTGGTGCATGGGGAAGAACTTCCTTGGGAGTTGCTTCCTTATGTCCCATGCCAGTGGAACACCTTTGATGCTGAGATGGCATTGGGAGTCAGTAAAGGTCCATCATCTCTCTATCACATTTGGAAGAAATGAAAGAACAGCATATTCTTGGTCCTTTCTAAGAAGAAAGGCCCCGTGTCATTAGCAGTACCATACCTCACCTCAGGTGAGGCAAAACCACTGTCCCAGTGACAYCAGTTTTCTCTTACAGGAAGGGCAGTGGAGGAAAATACCACAAGGGTTTTGGAATCCATGTGTCTGAAGGACCTCCAGCAGCTCTCCCAAGAAATCCAAAGTCTGGGAAAAGCTATTTCTTCCTCACTGGGGTCCACAGAATATGGTCTTCATCTCCACAGCACAGACATAAAGAATGAATTAGGTGAGCAAGGCCTTTTCAATCAGAACTTCATCTCTCTGAAAGCAAAAGCTGCTCYACAGGCAAATTGTCCTGTGAGCTCATTGTCCACAGCTCCTCAAAGGGGAGGGAGAGTTTCTTGGCAAGCAGCTCTTGTGTCCCCACCTTCGGAGACACCTAACACTGAGGAGGTGACTGCAGGTGGCCAAGGTCCCTCTTCATTATCTTGTCTTTGAAGGGAGTGTGTAGTGTGACCCAAAATGTGGTAAAGGTGTCCACTGTCATGCCCTGCTATTGTGTCTCTTGATTTCCCCACTTCTCTTCCTCTTAACAAAGGCTGTGTCCCACAGCCCAGAGGTAATGTTTGGAGAGATTGAGGGGGATGATCCCAACCTTCCATTCTGCCCATCAGGCCTTTCCCAAGTCTTCAGGAAAGCTCACAGGGTCCGTGCTCTTTCCCCAACCTTCTAGCAGTCAATCCATCCAAACCAATTCTGTTGAGCTGGRAGGGTCTTTGTTCTCCTCTGTCCTGAGCCCATGTGCCCCTGAACCTGGGATTTGGACACTTCAGGGAGGGAAGAAGCACAGGAGTGTCAGAGCCCCAGATGGGGTGTAAGGAACTCAGACCCTGGGCAAGCCCTGCTCCCCTTCCCCTGGCTCAGGAGTGCCCAGTTTGACAAGTGTCTCCAGGGAAAACTGGTGCAGCGAAGTCACTTTTGATTCCCGGGAGCCCCTTCTCTGTGAAAGCCCATCTCCTTTTCAGTCTGTGGGCTGGCCATTCCTCTGGCCTCTCCCATCTGGAAAGGAAAGAGAGGGCAAGCTCMTGTCACAGCACCTTTTAGCCCTCCTTAGTCCTCAGAGGAAGCAAGTGGGAGCCATGTGCACCATGTCTGGGAAACAAAAATATCACTGACCTTGATTTGCTGTTTTCTCTGAGAGTCTTTGATGAAATGAGAGTAGAACTGGTTAAGATAACTGTGTGATGGAGGAGTAGGGGAGCGTGGGTATGGCATCAGTGTCATGGAGGGGAGAGAGTTGGGTGTTGTGTGTAAGAGATTTTCTCAATCCATTCTGTTTGATTGGGTGTCAGCACCCCAGCAACACTAAGAGCCTTGTGTCTGACCATATTGTCAGAGTAGGGGAGCATGAGAATGGCCTCATGGGGTTTGAGGGGAGAGAGTTGGCCAGTTTTGTTTCATTGCCAGAGTAAGCCTTGACAAATCCACTTCTTTTCTCCTTTGCCACAGGTCTTCCAGAACTAAGGTCCTACAAAGGTAAGCATAGGTGAGATGAGTACTCAAGAGCCTGAGTACWGCTCTGGAAAACACACCCAAGCCCCTCAGGGAGCTGTTTGGAGAGGAACACCCTCAGGGAAGAGGGCTTTGATGACTTTTTTTCACTGCCATCTGCTGTCCAAGGCCCTGTCTGGGCTTGTCAGGAGCTGTCTCAGCTGTGAGCAGCAGGAACAGCCTTCTTGCAGTGGCCACTGCAGCCCCAGCTCCCACTCCTGGTTTGGCCTCTTGGGCCTTTCAGGGAAAGTGTCTGGAGCTSATCTTGCTCCATGGCAGGAGCAGATCCTTCTCCTTTCAATCTCAGCTGAGCCAAAGGCCCTCAGTTCATGACACTGCACCTTGCTGGAGTCCTGCCGGGAGTTCATCCCA